ATGTGTCGTGCATGGTGTTGAGGAGACTGTGTCAGTTCTCAGTTCATATGGCATGATGAGACGATGCGGCTTGTCCTTCCAATTCAATCAGAGACCTTGTCAATCGTTAGCCTCATTCGTTCCAATAGAGCTTGTCCATGCCATGGTTTTTCGGCCGTACTTTCAAGAAATCGGTTTGCATATTCGCAGCTTTTGCTATGTGCTGTCCGGGTTACCCTTCGAAGAGCTCGTTACACAACATCGGACCCCTCAGCGGTTCCGGATCTGTCAGACCGCAACTTCGGAGCCTTGAGCGCAGCGGTATGCCTGCACCGCGCATGCACAATATGTGATATCCACATAACGAGACACGGCTTCTGTCGATGTTCGAGACAGTGCAGGGTCCCGGTGGGGCTGTCGCGATGGCGAAATCTGCTCAAGCATGAGCGACGTCGCGATGCCTCGCATCGACTAGTCAAGGCAATCACAACACCTCGCTTGTCGACAACGACAGTGCTCTGAACACCTGCAGCTGGAGTTTCGTCCGGGTCGTCGCAGCGGTCAGCGAGCCGTGCGAGGACGCCGACATGGTACCTTGATGCCCAACGGACGATCAAGGCCGGCCTCAAGACGGACCGCAAATTGTGAGATACAGCCGAGATGCCAATATACGGCTTACACGCCGGGACCGCTTCGCACATCATAAGCAAGTCATCCAAAGCCAAAGCTAAATCGTTCTGACTGTGGTGATGCCCAACGCAAGCGACGAAATGTGGAACTGAGCACATTGCGAAACTGCAGTCCTGGATCCTCGTGGGTTCTTGTGGAAGCGAGAATGTGTGGCGGAGTCAGACAGATGTCGTGCAGTAGAGAGGCCGGTGACCCACTGTTAGAAAGCTTGACTAGACGCGAGATGTACTGAATTGTAAACTCGTTTCGAAGTCGTTGCGAGTTTCGAGATGGCTACTGTTGATGCGACAAGAAGTGTGGTAGGCAGATTCGATGAGAGGATTAGTGATCGAGTTCTTAAACCCAGAAAGGCAGCAGCCCAAGTGAAGAGGCCTTGGTAATGTGGCGTAGACTTATCCACTAGACTTCTGTTTGGCGCAAGAGGAAAGAGCACGTAAAGAGAAGAAGAGGTTTTGGGGAATGCGCATATAATGAGGTAGCTGCTTCTAGAGTTGGTAGTTCCTTCCTCCAGTCTGTTGACCACTTCGTCATCTCACCAATCGTCACTTCTTAAAGTCATCAACGGTCGACCACTGCAAGTCTTCTCTCAGTCCTATCACCACTTCAGACTCACTCTCAAACCAAGTTGTCGAACTCGCAATAGCTTCATAGCAATCATATACCCGTGCTGGTCGCGTTCCCATATCTCAATCTCTATTTCCGAACCTCAGCTTTGGCAAGAGCAATGCGCACCCAACACATGGCAGTGTGGGGAAGCAGGAACGCCATGTCGTTCTGTGCGACTGTGACTCCCACGAGCTTCGACTGCCTATCGGCATGCTCGCAAGCACGGAGCGCGAACGCCATACTATGAGTATCGTACTACCATCAACCTACGCGAAGAACTCTGAATCTTTCGCCAACGTCTGTCACCTACACCACCAATATCATTTCTTCCTCTATCATGGCTCTGTAAATATACGCATCGCGCAAAGGGGAGACACAGCAGTCTATCGCTATCACAAAAGGCATGAAGACGAGAAAGAACAACCATGTACCGCTACACTTCCGCACCTCCCTCCCACCACTCACACACCTACCTGCATCCTCCCCTCTACCCTCACAGACTCACCTCGAGATCCTACGACACAACTTACATGTCCAGACCCTACCCGTACACAGAACCACGTCGCTACAATTCCTACTACGAAACTACGTACGCACGACCCGGCACATCTCACAGACCAAGCACTTCATACCGACCCTCTCAAACAGAATATTGGAGATACGTCAAACCAGTTCAAACACAGCAGCCAGAAAGACCACCGCGCAAGAGCAATCTCAAGAAGACGGAGGGCAGACACGTTCATTTCGATCTTCCGCCTGCTCAGGGGACGTCGAGCAGGACGGTCAGGATTGCAGAGGAGGAGAGGCAGAGGGAACGGGAACGTGTTAGGGCGAGGGAGAAGGAGAGGGAGAAAGATCGAGAGAGGGATAGAGAGAGTAGAAGAGAGAGTAGAAGAGAGAGGGAAAGGGAGAGCAGATACATACCACCACCACCCCGACCCCCCACACGGCACTACGATACCACCAACAAGATGCCTAAGAAGCAGTACGCCACCTACTCCCACTCCTTCGAATACGATTCCCAACTCCACCACCGAGAACGATATCGTTCTTCCACTCCGCCTCAACGGACCACTTTACCTCGCTCTACTTCATACCACACCCACCAATCCTCCCACCCTCCCCTCCACCAACCCACCTCCCACACACCCATCCCCGCAACCCCAACCGTCTACATAATAACCTTCGCCACGGACCTCACACCTTCAGAATCCACGCGCGCCTCCCTCCTCTCCTCCCAACTCCCCATCCGCACCCCACCAATCCCGCACCTCTACACCATCGACGCGCGCACCGTCCGCCCACCCTCACCCTCTCTATGCCGAGAATACTCAGGCGTGAGTCCGCGGATTCAAGACATTGTCATGGAAGACAGTGAGGCGAGGTATGCGGCACGGAAAGCTGTGGAGAGGGTTGTTCGGTTTGGGGAGCGCGCTAGAAGCAGGGATGGTGGAAGGGGGAGGGAGATGGAAGTCAGTCTGAGTGTGTGTTGTCACTCTGGTACCCATCGCAGTGTGGCGATTGCGGAACGCATAGCGCAGTGTGTTAAGAGTGAAGTGGGGCGGAGGGGATGTGAAGAGGGTGTGAGGGTTGTGTGTCGCCATGTTCATCGGGTTAAGGGAAGGAGGGATCCTTTTTGATGGGGCTGTGTTTGTTTGAGCTGTGAGAGAAGTGGAAGTAGACGGAGAGTGCTGGGTTGTAAATTGGATTAGAGAGCACAGGGACATGTTGTGATAGATGGTAGAGAACAGTGCGTGATACCCTAGACGATTGGATACCGGGAAAATTGGAATTGGAACTTCGTATTCATTCTTCTTACATGATCCTTACAAAAAACGCTATACTCCTCAATCGACTGACTGACTGCTGAGAACCCAGTCCACGCAGCCAAATACATCGATACCCAAAATCTCTCGATATCAATCCTTTCTTCCCTGTTTACTTTTTGTACATTCCAACCCTCCTCTCTTTTCTCTACGCAGTCTTCTTCTTCCCAATGCTAGTATCAATGCTACCCACGACCCACGTAACAGCAAACACCGCAAACATGCCCAGAGTGATAACAACCGGCTTCCTATATCCAGCAGTCCAGGGGTAGTCGTACGTCACAACGAGGTCACGGTCTCTGAACTCATCAACCAGGTTGATAGCCGTGAGTTCGAGTGTGGTGCGGCCAAGGGTATCCATGAAAGTCTTGTGGAGGCTAGTCTCGTTGCTGACGATAGGAACGGTGGTGGAGAACTTCACGTTCTTCGCGCCTTCAGGGAGGATAACGCGGAGATTTACGCGGCCGTAGGAGATGCCTTCGCCGGAGCGGGGGCCCTCGAGGAAGGGCACTTTGAGCGCGTAGGTGTCGCCCGTGGAGAGCTTGCGCAGGTACGATGATAGGTCTGCGTTCCAGCCGACGCGGAAGCTGTACTTCCAGGTTCCGAAGACGGGGTATCGCGGCTTCAACTCTAGAAGGGCTTCTTTCTTGCCGGGGCGGAACTTGGAGGTCGAGACGTTTCCGATGTCGTCGGTGAAGTAGGGGTCGACGGCGCCGGGGGCAAGGGGGAGAGCGAGGCCCTTGAGGGCGAAGGTGGGTGGGTTGAGGTAGGACTGGCGCTGCCATTCTACGCGCGAGAAGTGGTTCTTCAGTCCGGCGCCTTGGTTGACGAGCCAGTAGCGCTCCTCAGATGCCAGGTTGCCGCCCCAGTGCGAGACCTCGATGTCGCGCTCCAGCAGTGTCGCGTGGGTGACGGGCTTGGTGAACTCGTAGCGCACGCTTACGGCCTGCTGGGCGCCTGCGGGCACGTTGTTGTAAAGACCGTATGTGAAGGTCGAGCCTTGCTTCTGGGGGTCGGCGGTCTGCTCGTCGTTGAGCTCCGAGGGAAGGCTCGTGTAGTCTGGCACATCGCTGTTGGGGAACTTGACCTTGGTTCGCTGCTTCTCGGTGAGGTAGGCCGAGGGTGCGTATGCGCTGAAGTCGTATTGAATGTACTGCTTGTCCGTCTGGGCGATCTGGGCGGGGACGGGCTTCAGAGCCGAGGCGATCGAGTAGGAGATGCTGATGGTTTGTTGCGCCTTGGGTGCGAGGGGTTCGGGAAGATGGATCTTGTAGAACTCAACGGAGCTGTCCCGGTCAGTCTCGATATGTGATATCAATTGTACCATTGCCTACCTCTCTGCATCAAAGCCCACTACCTCGACCTTGAAGATACCCTTCTCAGCCGCCTTCTTGTCTCTTACTTCGAACCCTCCAACTTTGGACAGCGTGCTCGAGTCGAATGGCAGATAGTATTCTGATTGCGCCTTGTCGTCAATGTTCTCGATTATGACATTGATCGTCTCTCTTGCGTATGCCTTGTCCAGGTTCGTCGTCCGGACTAGGTTGGCATTCTTGAACACTTGCGGTGGTGTAAATGTGCTGGGTAGCACCTGCTTGGATAGCAGCGGTTGTGACAGGTTGAGTTCGGCGCTCGCGAAGCTCGAAAGCGCTGCGATGCAGCTCGTAAAGAGGAAAGACCTCATTGTTGGACCAGCAGTCAAGCTATCCAGTCATGTATGAGGTCGGTGGTGAGGGAATTGGGTTGGCTGGCGGGTTGGACAGTCGATGGTTACGCGGCGGATGTTGCGTCGTAGGTGTTCTCTTCGGAGTTCCCTGGCACCTCCGCGTCTTGGCGCGACAGCTCGAGCTCACCCCTCCATACCTAGCTATCTACCCACCCTCACTCTCTCACGTCACTATGAGACTTCTGGCACGTTCAATTGGTAGGCCGCGCATATCTGCCAGTCGCCATGGCATCGCGACTGCATCGGGAAGGCGCCATCTAACCAACAATGGCTTCTTCCGCGTCTCGGAGGAGGTGCGCGAAGCTCTACACTCCAAAAAGCCCGTCGTCGCGCTGGAGACGACAATTTACACTCATGGTAGGAACGAAATATATTTATACGCGCATCGCTTGCTAACTCACGTGACAGGCTTTCCCTACCCCGAAAACGTAGCCCTCGCATCCCTCCTCGAAAGCGTAGTCCGAACGAATGGCGGCATCCCAGCTACCATTGGCATTCTAGACGGTGTAGCACGTGTAGGCATGGATCCAGAAGAGCTGATCAAGCTGGCTTCTTCTGCTGGTAACCCAAACACAATGAAGCTCTCGCGACGAGACCTCGGCTATGTATGCGGTATGCGACTGACCGACAAGTCCTTCAATGGCGGTACAACTATATCAGGCACTATGCTGCTCGCTCACCTCGCTGGCATTAAGATCTTTGGAACAGGTGGCCTTGGTGGGGTTCATCGCGGCGCTGAGTCAAGCATGGATATTTCTGCCGATTTGACAGAGCTCGGCAGGACTCCGGTCACCGTTATCTCTAGTGGCTGCAAGAGCTTCCTCGATATACCGCGGACAATAGAGTACCTTGAGACTGAAGGCGTAGGCGTGGGCACCTTCGCCGATGGACGAAAAGGCAATGTAGACTTCCCTGCCTTCTGGTCGAGGGACAGTGGGGTCAAGAGTCCGACGACCATTGCGGATGAGATCGAGGCTGCTGCTGTCATATGTGAGTCTTCAAATCCTCCTTTTTGTTCCATTACTAATACCATTTAGATGCGCAACACGCACTTCAGATCTCATCTGGTCTTCTCTTCGCCAACCCCGTTCCTACCGATTTCGCTATACCCAAGGATGAAATGGATGTAATCATTGCCGAAGCTCTGAAACAAGCTGAAGCAGCCAATATCTCCGGCAAAGACAACACGCCCTTTGTGCTTGCTAAGATCAAGGAGCTCAGCAAGGGCAAGAGTATACCCGCCAACAGGGCCCTTATAGAATCGAACGTGAGACGGGCTACCATCGTAGCACGAGAGCTTGCCATACTTGAAGCAAAGCAGGAAGAAGCCCAAGGGTGAGCCAGCACTCTTGTTGCTCAATGTAGACTGGCACTGATGTAAGTATGCTAGACGAACTTCCTCTTACTTCACTCCTATTCAGTCCAGTTCCGCATCTAGTGCAACCTCATCACCTTCTGAGCCTCCCTCTACTCCTGCCACATCAATTTCGTCTACAAATGAGTCTCGACAAGTCCCGGACGTAGTCGTTGCAGGTGCCCTCGCGGTCGACTTTTCGTGTGACTATGCTCCGTTCACAGCTTCTGCAAGTCAAACAGAACCACTACCTCACACCTCGAACCCAGCAGTCATCACCCAAACACTCGGAGGCGTAGCACACAACATCGCGAAAGCCTCTCACCTCCTAGGCTCATTCGTCCATCTCCACAGTGCCGTTGGCGACGACCTGAGCGGCCGCGCCGCCCTCAGCCAGCTGCAATCGGAAGGCATGCCAACAACCGGCATAGAAACTCTCCCAGCCCCATCCCGAACAGCCCAATACGTTGCCATCAACAACACAAACAAAGACCTCGCCCTCGCCATGGCCGACATGTCAATCCTCGAAACCATCCCCATCGAAACCATCCAAGAACTCGCGACCAGCATCTTCACCACCACCTCCCCCCGCCCCAAAGCCTTCGTCACAGACGCAAATTGGTCGTCACCCGCTCTACACACCTGGCTCCAAGCCGCCCGTCACCCCGATACAACCACGATCTTCGAGCCTGTCTCCACGGCAAAGTCGCTGCGTATATTCCCTTCCACGTCCAGTACCACGGCCACACAATCTATCTACCCCACCCCCCTCGTCGACATCATAACACCAAACACGTACGAACTCACCGCTCTCCACGATTACGCCGCACAATCCACGCTCTTCGAGTCTCCAGAATGGTTCGGTGTGATAGACGCACTGGGTATACCCAACGGCGGCTTACGCGTCCCGCTAGCCGTCACCGTAGGAAGCGAACTAGTCGACCAAGGCATCCCGCAACAAACCATCAAACTCTTGCCTTTCTTCCCTACTATCCTGACGAAATTGGGAAGCAAGGGCGTGTTGATGACGAAATTGCTCGCGAACGATGCGGAGGAGTTATATGATGAGAGGGAGAGGGGGTATGTTCTTGCGAGGAATATGTCGGCGTCGGCTGGTTCAGCTGGTGGAGATGGGAAGGAGAAGGGTAAGGGTGTTGGTGGTCTTTATATAAGACTGTTTCCGGTGGAGAAGGTGCTGCAGCCGAATGAGGTGGTTAGTGTGAATGGGATTGGCGACACGTTTTGTGGGGCGGTGGCGCATGGACTTGGGAGGGGAATGCGGGTTAAGGATGTTGTGGGGTTTGCGCAGAGGGCGGCGGGGGAGAGCTTGAGGAGTAGGGAGGCGGTGGGGGAGGGGTTGAGGGGGTTGAGGTTGTAGATTTGCACGGTGGAGGTATGTGTGGAGGTGGATGCTTCCATATGGAATACTAAGATAGGTATTTTGAGACTGTTTTGTTGATTCTGCGTGAGAGAGAGATGTAGTTCGAGAACATTGTATTGACAAGTCTGTGATGCAAAATGCTACAAACTACCGGCTTTGTGATCGCATGACTACCTGCTTCGACCGACTCGCACACACAAAAGCTCACACCATCACACCTCCCCTCATCAATCCCACAACGACGATTACCCATCTTCTTACTCAGCACTCTCAAGCCGAAATATCGTATTTTGAACCACGGCAGAAAACTTGGAGAGTTTCTCCATGCAGAGGATCCATCTTGTTTGTTTTTAATGTACGAGGTGCTGGAGCGGATTCTCATCGATGCGAACGTGTGCCATTTTTGGAGAGAAGACCCCCGGACCATAGTAGAGGCGGGTGGTTTTTTTTGGAAAGAAGTGAAAGGAAGTGTGCTGAAGAAGAGTGAGTGTGGATGTGAAGTTTATATATGCGTCAATAGAGCCATGAGGTCAGCGACGCTGGATTTGAAGTCGTTAGCTTGAAGTATTTTTGTCGACTCCACAGGACTCGCAGAGACATAAAATGACTGCATGGAAGTTTCGGTCTCTCGCATGAATATCTTCATCCGTGGTTTGAGTGATGCATTCCAGTTGCGCACCCATATTGCATGATGTTCCAGAGTTTTCCGGGAACGGCACGAACATTGAACAAACGGGCGCGTTTTTGGAATGTGGGAAAGCAAGAGAACACAATCTTCTGTCCATTTATAAGAACGCAATAATGTCCAGAGAGGCTCGTCATCGAGTTTGCCTTTTGCATTTTCATTTTGATCGCACAGGTCGACTTCTCATGGCGACATTGACAGGGCCTTTTGGTTCGGCGAGGAGATTCTCAGTTCATCAGTTGTTGAATGATGCGTTTTGGACAGTAAAGAAAGAAGTGTTGTGAAGGAAGAACCGTTGAAACCTGGGGTTTATGTATTGCTGAAGACATGGTCATAGCGCAGTGTGCTCTCAGCGACTTGGTCTCTCTTCTTGTATTTCAAGCTCAACGCTCCCCGCCACATGACAGGTTTGGCCTCGTCCTTCCAGGACGAACACATGGTTCTGTTCTGGTTCTGTTTTGGGAATACTGTAGTTGGTCTCAAATCCCACAGTCTCGAACTCATCGTACTTTTCTTTGGGCGGTTTGGGAGGGAGGAGGAACATCAAATGCTCCAGGTACAAGTTTTGGAAAAGAAGAAGAGACCATGCAACTGTCTAATAGAGCCTTTTAATGAACTCAAGAAGGAGAGTGTGATAAACAAGAGTAAAGGTAACCGCGGCGATATTTATATACCCAGCCGCCCAACTAGGAGACACTCATGTAAACCAGCGGATATGTTTTCAGTGTTACAAGCTCGACACCCTCAGCCACATCATTAACCTCAGTCGCGATTTTTCGGACGCACACATGGACTTGTCCAGGATGTTTTTTTAAGAGATACTGTAGGCAATGCCAAATCCCACAGTCTCTAACTCATGACACTCTGGCTAGGCGTTTTGGAAAGAAGGACAAACATTAGGTTATTGTAAGCAAGTTTTGGAAGAAAGAAGACCATGTACGTGTCCAACCTAGCTTTCTAGTAGACTTAGGAAGAGAGTGTGGTGAAGAAGAGTAAAGGTAACCGCAGAGGTTTTTATATTCACAGCTTCCGAACCGCCAGACAACACATGCGCAGTCTTTATCATTGTTCTTGAAGTTACAAACGCGACACTCTCGAAGACATGCATTGCTTTCATGCTCAGTTTTTGACGTAACACATGTACTGCGATGTTTAAAGTTCGAGTGAGAATGTCGCTGAGACAAGATCCCGTAGAGTTGGACTCATTTTAGACATCTGTGTGCTTTTTCCAGAAAAGAGAGCCCACGACCATAGCCGGGAGGTTACATGCTTTTGGAAAGAGGACACACAGCCATAACGTAGACATTGTAGGTTTTTAAAGACAGAGGACCATTCCCCACTGCAGAACTATTTTGGATAAGTCAGGAAGAGCACGATGCTGGAAGAACTGCCCAGACGTGCCAGTTTATATATGCGGCAATCTGACTAATGCAAACCCCCACTGCTTCGACGTCATGTAATCGTTTTCTAGAGGTTTCGGGCGGAGCAGCGCAAACATGACGGCTTATACCGAAAGTTTTGGAAAGAAGTGAGACCATCGGATCCTCGTCGCAGATATTTTGGAAGACCCAGAAGAAGAGTGTGATTCAGAAGAATGAAGGTGTTGCCGGTGATAGTTTTACCCAACGACCAGGCAGAGGAACAGCTCATATCTCATCAAGGCATGGTTTTAGAAACCGATGAGACAAATCTCGCACTCATCTCCCGCATCACACCGTTTCTGTTCTTCTTGAGATGGCAGCGAGACAGTGTAGGCATATGTTCGCTTTTGTGCCTTTTCGATAGAACATAAAGAGGAAGTAAGGGCTTTTAGGCGCTTCCAGGCCGGCGAGAAGGTCATTTTCATTGTTGTTGAACCTTTTGGAGAGACTCTACAGGCCAGAAAGGACATTTGTACAATCCCACACAGTTTTGATTCCAAAGGATAAAGTGGTGGATGATATGAAGAAGGGAGCAGAGACGCCGATCGAGGGTTCATATACTCCAGATTTGCTGCGGAAGAAGGAGAGAGCCTCACTCCATGAAACATGTCCGTCCGTGTTTTGTAGTAGGGACGATCTTCGCAAGTCCCACTCGCTCCCAACCATGGATAATGCTTCTGTTTGCTTTTAGAGAAGCACGCACCATGTCCTTCTTCCTCTTTCTTTCCGCCGTTGCAATCCCCAGCGCAATGCCGCAACATGAATGTAGAAGATTGCATTTTCGGTCAGTCCGACGAACGCGCCATGGGTCAGCGGCGTATTTCTTTTGGTAAAACCCTGGAGACCTTTTGAGATAGATGATAGAAGAGAAACCTAACAGCGAAAGAGGAGTTTTTATATGCCGAGCCAGTCCGTGCAATCGCACAGGGAGCAGAGAAGCCGGAGACCATGATCCATCTCGCTGGTGTTTTGGGGTTTTTTTTGGTAATGGTGTCAGGACCTCTGCGCTTCTTTTCTTCCATACTACTGTAGATATATAGTTTTGGAAGTCCACACAGAACATGGCAAGCTTCTTTCGAAGTTTTGTAGACGCGGGAAGAGGACATGAAATCGCAGTATCGCAATTTTCGGTGTTCGGAGGCGCGCCCACACCATCGCTTCTCCAAAAGTACCTTTTGGTTCTCACAGCCGGACACCCATACGCGGCTTGCTAAGTCATTTTTAGAAGCACAAAGTAAGAGTTTGTAGTTTAGAAAAGAGAAGCAGAGCGAACTCTAAGGTGCTTATGTACCCTCACCCCTTACTAGCGCGTAGTACGTCGAAGAGGCAGGACACCCACAGGCCATTGCGAGATTTACCGATCCTTTCAGTTTCGAGTATGCAAGTTCTCACAGACTCCTCTCTCATCGCAGCGGTACCTTCTGCTTTCTCGTCTCCATCCTCGTCTTCGCTAGTCTATTTAGTAGTTTTTCGCAGGAAGGCTCGTCATGATAAGGATTTGAACCATATTTTGAGTTCTGCAGAAAGGAGGGAACAGACATCAAGCATCCTTGTGGTGATTTTGAGGAAGACCGAAGCATAGCATCTTTGGTTGTATTTTTAAGAAGAGCGGACAGAGAACCATAGAAGTGTCGTAGCTTACTTTTAGTAAATTCCCGAAGGATGTAGTAGTGATAAGGAAAGAAGAAGAGGACCAGAAGGTAGAATTTATACCCACGTCTTGCGCTACTCCGCATTAGTGACGGCCAGATACTCGCCAAAAGAGCTCATCAATCGCTGTATTGCTGTATTTTGGACACCGCACCGCTCTCAGTCTCTCTTATATCGTGATGTTATCGTCCTTTTGGAAACATGGAGATAACGAAGGTCAGTTTTGAGTGAAAGACCGGAAAGCGGAGGAGAGCGGCACATACACCATCGAACCGTGAATTTTGGAGAAAGAAGGAGCAGAAGAGCCATCACTACAACCTCAAATGCTTTTGGTAAAAGCCCGAAGGCGTGTAGAGTGATGAAGATAAGAAAGAGGGAGGAAGAGGGGGTTTATATATCCATTCTACCCGCTCAGCCGCTATGCCGAATTGGTTATACGAATTGGAAGCAGGAGGACGGACAGCCATGTGCAGAATGCAGACCTGTTTTGGTACGACAACCCCACTCCAGCTCTCTCCATGAATAGATCCTCGAACCGTTTTGGTAGACGCAGCGAGAACCACTCCATCATCATCCAGCGGAGGCTTTTCTCACACAGACATCATTCTCTTTGTCGTCCTTTTATAGCACAGCCATGTCGCTCCATCTCAATGGTTTTGGAGACTGGAGGAGCAGCGCACGGGACAGATTCCATTCGAATTCGTGTGCTATGTTTTGAAGAAGAGAGAGACAATCCATGCACATTCTATCTTCCAGTTTTAGAGAAAGGCGGAGAAGACAGCGGACTCCATACCACAGTTTCTCCTTTCTTTCAGTAGAAAAGAAGGCCGAGGAAGCGAGGAACGCCATCGCAAGCATGTATGTGAGTTTGAGAGGAAGCTGGAGCAGACATTCATTCTGATCCTCTTGATTTTGGAAAGCGAGAGGGAGAGACACTCCATTTCGCGGAAGGCCCTGATTTTAGAGAAAGGCAGAGAAGCGGACAGACTCCATGGCTCTCTTTGAAGTAGTGTTTTTGGTAGAAAGAAGGGCAGGATGACTGACTCCATTCGTCATTGCCAAGTCGATTTTGGTGTAAGAGGCGGACAGAGAAGCGACCCCCCTCATGGTTCGGAGCTTGCAGATTTTTGGAAGAAAGCCCAGAAACACTCCATAAACGCACTCCATGGATATTTTGGTAAAAGCACAACCAAGTGCGCAGGATAAGAAGACAAGAAAGGAAGTCGAGAGAGGTGTTTATA